TGACTCATCATCAGTCATTCATCATTCACGATTAATGGTTATGAGTTTAAACAAAGCGAAAAAAAAACCAAAGTGATTCATGTTAACAATACATATATTGATTAAAAATGGCAGAATAACGTCCGCCAAGTTTGCTAGTAAAATATTATTTATACGTACGTTCAGTTGAGTTTTTCATCACGTTAAAGAAGAATATTTCAGAAATTTGGTAAACATATATATGAAAAATCAAAAGAGTAATATCAGCCTTGCTGAACTGCAAATGCTCAAGGCAGACGGTGCCTAGTTCATCGCCGCTGGAAAGAAAATGCCAGGAGCAAAAGAAGTCAATTGAGAAAAGAATCAATATAGACAGGACTACGAGCTAGGTTCGGAACTTGAAAATGCCTATGCTCAATCCTGATAAGAAGAAAAGTGCTTGTCATCCGAGTAAGGGGGTCGCTTCGTTTGCAAGTTTATAAGTTTTCTAAGTTGAAGACCTTGCCAAAACCCAAACACAAAACCTCATTCCCGCTATGCCTGACATGCCCGCTCCCCGGTTCGAGCTGGGGTCAATTAAGAACGTAACACAAAGTCTTCATTGAGATAGGCGAGTGCTATATGAACTTCAACTTTTGAATCTAAGCAAAGAACAGATAAGGAAGCCGCGATCACTACCATCAGGAAACTGTGCTTCCCACTTTTTATTGTTGTAATTAATGTTCAACAATAAGAAATTGGATCCTAATTAATATAATTATTTGAGTGCTATCGCACGCCCCCTACAAAAGTGGGATCAGATTCAGCCTAGATTCCGGAGAGCAATACCGATTTATAAAAAAAACTACCCCAAACCTGAAATCTATGAAGAGAATCGGATGATTTTCGCTATACTCGGACGTACGCCAGAACATACGGGGCTATATGTTATTTTTTACAATACTAAGATCAACTCAGAAGTTACTGGAAATTCAGGAACTACTTCTTATGCCGAATATAAAAATCGAACTCTCTGGGCAAATAAATGTACGGCACTCACGACGCAGATAAAGAATGCACACGACCGAGGAAGGAATCCCCGATTTGTGCGCATTGCAGCCAAGCCCACATGGCAAACAACCTGTGTTTCCCGGTGTGCAGATCAGTGCTTACATTATATAATTTTAAATCAAAATATATCATTATTTTGTTTCTGAGAAACAGACAAAGATACTGACAGATAGGGAAGTAATCCCGAATTTCAGTATGGAACACACATCGAGACAGCAGCGATTAAGCAAATTTTGCTTTACTCAGGACAAATTTATTATTAAAATATAACAATCTATTCCTCATAAGATCGACAATAACTAATTTCAATAAAGTCCAAATAATAAATACATAATATATATTTTATCACTAAATTCAAAACCATAAGTAGCTTGTTGCACTAGAAACATCGAAAGAATGGGTAACAAAGAAAGGCGTGCTAATTTAAATTTGGCCAAAAATCCTGCTCGAATTTTAAGTATCTGTGGGATTTTCCTTATTTTATTTTGGTTTCTGAAATAGAAATGTGTTTAAAATAAATTTAACAAAATTATTCAAAATAATAGTAACAATTAACTATAATATTTGTTTATTAAGCAATAATTCATTAATTATTTTTATATCTGTTTCAAGTAATCATTAATATTTAATTGATATATTATCATATATGGATCCAGACTGGCTTAAGACAGTGCTTTGTAGAATTCTGTAGGTCCCGGTTCCGCAGATAATTTGTTTTGGGCTACAATAATTATGATGAAATTATGATACGTATGTGTATGTAATGTTCTAATAATGTTCTTTGTAAATTTGTTTGTGGTGTACAATAAAGTATATTCATTCATTCATTCATAAAATACATATATGAAACTATTAGGTACCAATTTAATACCAATTCCGAAATGAGAAAATTTTAAAATTTTAATTTTTTGCGGTATGCACAACCCTACAGATTAACGGCGCCCACAAGTGCGCCAGCACTTGACAGTAACGGTGACGACCTCTGCGTCGTCAACGCTCATACAGATACTTAGCTTCCGACTTATATTTCCGTTTGATCGTTGGTGTTTTTCTGGTCTACATGACTCTTAGATGGGCGGAGGCAGTAGAGTCCAAGGAGGAAGCATTGGCCGTTAGCCTTGGACATAGCGAAGGCCTTCAATCGGGTTTGGCACAAAGCGCTTCTTTCGAAGCTTCCTTCTTACGGGCTTCCCGAAAAATTGTTTAATTGGATCACTAGTTTTCTAGCAGATCGGAGCATCAAAGTCGTAGTAGACGGTGAATGCTCCGATTACAAGCCCATTAACGCTGGTGTTCCACAAGGCTGCGTGCTATCACCAACTCTGTTTCTTCTGCATATCAATGATATGTTGCAAATCGGTAACAGTTATTGCTATGTGGACGACATCACTGATGAAGTTTTATACACCGACCATGCCAATATTTTTTGGAAAACGTCACCGAATACCGGAACAAACTTATGTCTGAAGTCGAAACATTGATGAACAAAGTCCTGGAATCGGGGTGACTAAATCTGTTTAATCCCCCAGTTTAATCCCCTGAATACAAAAATTTGCACGTTAACCGCTAAAAAGAAACTTTTTGTCGTATCACCTCAGTTTCGGAACACTCCCCTCGGTGTCTAAGCCAGTAACGGAATCCTCGGCGTCTACGCATCGAGTGACGTGAAGTTTTGTGGTCTTGGAAGAGAAAGCCAAATTAGCCTCTAAAAAGCTTGGCGTACTCAGCAATGCGGGACAGTATTTCATGCCGGCACACCGCCTACAACTTTACAAGGCGCAGGTTTGGCCTCACATGGAATACTGTTCCCATCATCTCTGGATTGGAGACCCTAGTGCCAGCTCCTTCCATTTAATTGCATAATGCATGAAAAATATTCTTTTTCTATATGAAAAAGTATTACAGTGAATAAACTCATATTCCTTAAATCTTCGATGCTTACTTGTACCGTTACAGTTACCAAACCTATTCTAATTTTAGCCACAGACCAGTGCATGTAAATATGCACATAACATACGGTCAATTAACACTTATGTGCTTACTTAAAAAGACAACGATTAACATCGTTTCGGAGGATCTTTCGTGTGTAAAACTTCTTCTTACATCTTCTTTTATACATTTCATTTATAACCTTATTCTCAACTACATTAAGGAACAAGATGCCATATTATCAAGATTCAGTTCGTGTAACAGTGACGTATAAAAATTACATGACTCACACATGATTTCGTATAGCATTAACCTACAGACACTTATAAATAGGGTCTATGACCTACAATATCACTACAACAATGGCTAATTGATTACACACAAATATATATATATATATATATATATATATATATATATATATATATATATATATAATTTTTTTTTTATATTTTTTATTATACCTAGAGTAAAATGACATTACCCGTCCGTATGATTTACTATTTTACCTTTGCATACGATGTTCGTCCAAAAATTATTATAGTATGACAAAGAAATATTTTATTAATAATATTATGTAAAACATATTAAAAATAAAATTAAATTGAAGCATAATTCTGGAATTTAGTAATTGTTTTACTATTTTCGATATATTTCATATTTATGTTATTGTTTATTTCGGCAATATGAAAAATATTTTTCTTTAACCGAAAACGGTTTCAAGAGTATCGATCAGCTTATGACTGTGGAGCACTATTTTATTATTCTGTCAGTACAATAGCACGACGCCGACAGGTGGCCAGTACAGGTGTCATTGTGCTCAAAACTGGGCCAGATATGAAATTATTATAACCGTCCTAGCATCTCATCTTGCCGCAACACTGAGGAATATAAGCTTTATTTTTATTAATAGAGAACTTTAAAGATTTATTTTATTTAATATTTTAATTAGAAAAAATGATGTTATGTCTTTTGAACATATGTAAATAAATAAAGTATTTATCAATTGTTGACATAATATTTTCCCTAAAATTTAACGCAATTAAAGGATAATAAGATTGGAAAAATCTTTGTATTTTTATAGTTTGTTCAAATAAATAGAGAATAAAATAAGCCAAATTTTAACAAAATATTTTATTTATTGATCAAAATATGGGCAATAACTACAGTCATTTTTAAATAAGGCAGGTCTGTAGGTTGTTTAATAGGTTTTAGCTTGAGTAAAATTCTACTGCCCTAGCGCTGCCAAACGCCCCAGGCAAACATTATTCTCCCCTTTCCGACGACCCTTTGTCCTTTAAAATATCTTAAAATTCACAGTAAAAAATATTGAGGGTCACTTATCGGGATAAAAACTTCTATTTCTCAGCTTGGAGCAAGCAATATACATTTACAAAATTTCATTAAAATCGGTTGAATGGTTTCGGAGTTTTGCGGACAAACAACGTGACATGTAATTTTTATATACAAAGATTTAGTAATAATTTACACAATTTAATTATGTCTGAGAAAGGCATCATCATACTATTGAATTTGAATATTATGTATAATTCCTGCCATTGGTACAATCATGAAAAGATGCTGTCTCGCATGCCAGTTATCACAAAGGGCGTACACCGCAGAAAGTTTCTGAACGAGAGAGCCGTGGGAGTAATCCACAATGAATCTTCCGCTTATTCGACTCCATTCACGGCTCATGTGAAGTGATTTCTCGACGACGATGAAAGTAAAAGTGGGTCACAATAAACAAAGTTTTCGTGCGGAAATCGCGACGCGAACGCGACTTTATTACGAAGTTTCTCGTAACATCCGAGCAATAAGTGATCGACTCGATAATTGTATGTTGTCTCATAAATATGCCCTAATTATTATTCAAGAAACACTTAATAGTGATTAGAAACATTTGTAATAGTATAACATTTATTTATTATCTTAAAAAATTAAAAAAAGTTAATATTATTCACCAAACAAAAATATCGGGTATACCTACGTATTAATCTAAAAAAAATGTGTTTTGTTTCAGCTTTTTAATTGGTACTTACCACAAAATGGAATGCCCTCAGGCGTCCATCTACCATTGGGCCCACACAGTCTACGGGCGGGTCCCAGCAGTTCGAAACCTCTTTCGCACGTATAGGATGCGATGGTACCATCTGTCAAGTTCTCATTAGAGAAGGAGACCCGGGAGTGGGCTGGTGCACCAGGAAAACGACACGTAGCTGCTGCATAGCCTGTATTACAAAATTGTTTATGAGTAAAATTGATGAAGATAATAATAATAATAATAAAATATTTACTCATTGACCAAAAGTAATAAAATATTTAAAAGTTAAACTAATACAAAAATGATATTTTTAGAAGGACAATGAAAGGGTTCTGACTCAGCATGTGTTGCAGAGAATCTATAATGCTGTTATTCGGTCAGCACCCATATACCTACTTAGTGAGCTAGAGTATAACAGTACGCGTACATCACTGATTATATTACAAATAGCTTTTAGTGTTAAATTATTTATTTAAAACTAACTAACTTTTTAACAATTATAATAATCTTTGGTAATAGGATTGGGTACTCGTAGAATTGTAAGAAATAGGAGGAAAAAATACTAAACCATGATCATTATAAGTCTTTATTTTAATAAACCTAAAAAATTCGTAGAATTCCTTGTAAGTATTTTTCTAGCATAAGGATGTCAAACGAGAACACGGTGCACCTGATGGTAAGTGGATGTAGTGGTCCATAGATATTTATCCTCGATTAAGAATCATAATGCAGATGCGTTGTCTCTGAGGACTAAAATGGAATGCCTCTTTTCCAGTAAAAAAGTGTCTCCGGCTCTCTACACTCATCATACGAAATACGGTAGCATTAAGCTGCTATTTTACGCTTGTATTCTGTGAGAGCGTGATCCCACGCCGGTCGAGCTGACCCATTTGTGCTAAAACCATAATATAACTGCAGCGTGGCTCTAACACGTTTGAATAAATTATTATCGCCAATCCATTACCAGCGGGTTGATGAAGGCAGATCGGTCATAAACCGGTAAAGACCTATGTTCAGCAGTCGACTTTTGGGAATTAATATACGTACAATGTATATAATATATAATATTTTAACTATAAATGTATACATACTAGTAGTCGCCTAGTGGTCTCAATTCGGGTTAGTCGAATTCGATTTGGGTTTAATCAAGCTGTATTTCATTTTTAATTGCACATTAATACATAAAACACAAATCTCTGATCTATACAAATATCAGAATCATCATCATTACAGCCCTTCACCAGTCCACTGTTGAACATAGGCCTCCCATAAGGAATGCACAAAGCATGGTCCTGAGTCACCTAAGTCCATCGACCTCCTGCATGTTTGACCAGGTCCACCTAGTGGGGGATGCCCCATATTTCACCTACCGGTACGAGGCTGCTACTTGAGAACCTTTTCTCATCATCATTTTAAGTCTATCATGTAGAGAAATCCTGAGCATAACCCTCTCTATAGCTCACTGAGCGTTTTTGAGATTTCTCATACGGATGTATTATGTTGTATACTCAATAGATTATTTTAAATAAATTTAAAGAAAGACTCTAAAACGCAGACTCAAATGTAGTGATTATATAAGATATAAGTACTTTTTGTTAGACTTTGTGAATGACCAAAGAGTATAATCACTATACGAATGACATTGAAAGTCATCATCTTGCATCATTTGTATGATATTAGGTCTATAATCTTCACGATTTAAATTGATTTAGTGGATAATGAACGTTTCTAATTCTACCTTAAATAAACATTCAGGCGAAACAAGAATATCTTTACTCCTTCTTCGTTTAAGTACACTGATGATCTTGGTGTCGTTGCTAACTATCCACATAAGATCATTGCGAATGTTTCGCTGGGAACAGTCAGTGTCAGGAGGTTTGATAATAGCCTATTGCATTGCTGAGCTCGGGCTTACTTTATGTGCGGGGACACCGCAATGTAGTGGATATGCATTGCAGGTAAATTAAACAGCAATATGTCAAATGTCCATAAATTAAGCACTCTTCGCCAATTTTATAAGGTTGACAAGAACAAAATTCTCTTTATCCTTTTCTAATTTATTGCCTAGGGCTGCTTAAAGTTTTTCATGAATACTTCTCTAGCAAGCCTGTAGGAGTTAGATTGGCCATTCCATATAGATTTGCCTACATACTCGTAATTTTGTGGCTAGTCTCTTTCGTTACTTAGGAGAACAGATTATTACAAGGTACATAAAACTTACATACTTTTCATAATTTACATGATATGAATTTAATTTCAATTTGAACAAAAATAAAAGAAAAGTATGGTTAGGGGTAATATATAAATAAATAATAATAAAAATCTTCTGTGTGCATTTTCCATTACTTCCAGGCATACCTATGCGGATTGGGCGCAGCATTACTAGCGGTAAATGCCGCAGTTATTTGGCAACTGTGGAAGAGATCCAACCAACTCACTCTCGTGGTGGCAGAGTTATTAGATGCAGTTGGTGTGCCTTTGAAACGTCAGGTTATAGTCAAAGTAACACTAAGTGCTATAGGGGCTGCGGCATTATTAGCCGATCTTGTACTTGCTCCATACCTTACAAAGCATCATCAATCTTTTACATCTTAGTAAGATATTTTCACACGTTTTTAAAGTGTTAATAATATATTAAAATCGGCAACATATTAAAAATATAATATTAAGTTAGACTCTTAATTCCAGTTATACTACTATTGAATACATACCAATACATAAAACAACACACACACACACATATTGTTCTGGCCGATTTGTAACTAATATGAATTGAAATCTAAAGTAGAATACGTTGCAGAGTCACATATAGTAAAATGAATAACGCAATCACCGTAAAATACGCGGATTCAAACAAACGATCCGTGATCAGAGAGATAATCAGTTGCTCCGATCAAAGAAATTTATTGTCGTCAACTAAATAAAGGATGCTCAGTAACGGGTAACAGTTACTAATTAAACAGTCCTACCAAAACATGCAATGAGTTGGCGGCGTAGTAATAGGCAATGTCATAAAATTTATATTATTGTTCCGTACATAAAAATGTAAAAGTTATGAACCTCTCAAACAACCCCAACGATGTAGCGAAAGTTGTGACTCAGTACGGCATTGCATGACGAATTAGTTAACGCGTCAACGGTGTTCGAATCTCCGTGAAACATTCTAAATTTAAATTATTCCATGATCAAAATGACCCGTAGCCGGCGCTAGCCACAGCGAAAGTGTACCTGAAAGTAATCACTCAACCCTTACTCTATACCTAATACAGTGGTGGTGGGCCCTATCGACAAATTTGCGAGGATGATTCAGTAATATAATATTGTCCTAAAATCCTTTACTAGAGGAAAAATCGTAATAAAAATAACTATAATTTACTGCAATCTTGAGGTAAACCTTTGGCCAAGTGCTCTAGTCAACTTATATTTATAAAGGACTAGGATAGCAGAGGCGTGCATAAAATAAACCAACACAAAACTAAACTTTTCTTATTTAAAAGTATATGTTTAAACAATAATGAATTTCGATATGTATATATACTTTAAATTTAAAGTTTAATATTCTATCGTAGTGACTAAAATATTTATATGATTTCATATGATAAATAATATAAATTCCGCCGTCCATTAGCCCGCGGTCAAAAAATTAAGTGAAAGTTGAGGGGAGCGCGTCTCGGCCTCCTCTATCACCTCTACATTGTTTTATACTTTTCCTCGATGAGCGTTTAGTGACTGAAATGGTTCTGCAGTAAATAATCCGGTCTCTTTAAAGTTAGTTTCTGGGAGTATGTGGTTATTAACTTTTCATTCACTCTTTGCTAATCAATAATTATAGAATAGAAGAATAGAATGAACGAGTATTTGATGAAATTTGTAAATTAAGTGAATTTATTTTGAAATGAGAAATAAAATAAAAGAATTGTGTGAATTGATTTAAAATACAGTATTCCAGTAATCTAAAACCAAATGATAATAACTGTACTAATTTGCAACAGAGTATGTTGTAAGCATAGTTACACGATTACTTAAGTCAAGAAAGCGTGGTGACCTCAACAATGTTACGGGCACAGCCCTGATTCGCAAGCACATCTCATGCAAAATATTTTTTTTAACAAATGAAGAACAGCTATCATAACATTATCAACTTTTTTGTTAACGTTTAAGGATATCATTTATTAAAGGAAACATTGCGTTTACAAGGCTAGCAAGAGAAGTTAATGATCATAGAATTTTAGTTTCCTTAAATGAATTTTTATTAGTCAACATCTAAATAGATTTTGTACCTTTATTTTATGGGAAGACACTGACTCCTGAGATACAGGTTCGTCTATATTAAATAAAACCCAGGGACTTTATATATATATTTTTAAAAGTGATTGGTGAAATAAAGCATTATTATTATTATTATTATTATTAATGTAGAAGACCTATTCGATCATGAACATAATTTTAATAATTGTACAATTAACATCTACGTTTTAAGTATCTACTCGGTTGCAAAAGCTGCAGACAGTGAGAGATATTTAATTATTTTTTCAGAAAACACTAGAAATAAATTTTGAAAATACACTCTGTTCGGCCTACAGAATGACTTGCTAGGAAACGCCCATCAACTCAAACTTTCTACCCTAAGGCATTCAATACCGTATGTAAGCATGAAAAATCGACTCAGTAGGTCAGTTCTGTACAAGTTAATTTACTTAACAATTCGAAATGATTGCGAAGTTTTCGTATATAGTAATTATTTTTATAAATATAGATATAATAGTTTTTATGCCATAATGAAATTTAGTTATGACTTAAGCGACACTCTTAGAAGCTATATCCCACCAAAAACATTTTCATGTAAAATGTTGCCAAGATGAAACCAACACACACTCTCAAAAAGTTATCAGATCTCATGTCAAGCTTCTAACTTTACACGCCCTAACTCTACAAGCGCTAACTTCACAAACTCTACACCTTAGTCAAAATATGTGGCTTGGCTGTTTCGTTACTACCGGCGAATTTGAATTAAAAAATGTACACTTAAATAAATTAAAATCTATCGGAATTCAAATCATATCCACCCTACTTTACGAACGGTAATGAAACAATAAATTTAGTAGGCATCTTTGACCTTGTCACTTTGCAGGGTCACAGACTAGTTCGGATATGATTTTAATTTCGACAGAGTTTAATTAATTAATT